AAGAAAATATAGATATAAAATAAAATATTATATTATACATATTTTATATCTCATGAAAGATTTTGCAAGATTTACGTATACTTAATTATGTATAAAATAAAAAAATTAAAACAAATACATAATAAAAACACATCTACTTGAGAAATATTTAAAACGGATGTGCTAGATATTATTATTAATTTTCAATAATATACTATAACTACTAATTCTGAATATATTTTTCTAATATCACTCAAATATTTTTATTCTATTAACTTGATTCTATTAACGTAAAAGGACGAGGCGCTAGTAAAGTTTCCAACAACCCTGGAACTGCTCTTTCTCTTTCTCTCTTTCTCTCTCTCTCTCGAATCCCCACTGACCTCACCACTGTCCTTCTGCGATGCGCAGAAGACGCGTTGGCATCAACTGCGCCGCGTCTAACGAATGACGGGAAGAGCCGCTTCCGCGCGTCTAGCGATATCCTCTCGCACACTCTTGCAGAAACTGATCGATCGTGAGCGCGGTGTGCGCGGCACGGCCATTGTGTAAAAAGGACCCATGACGCTCGGATAGTGCACGCTGAGGAGAGTGGACTCGTAGTTTTTCCCCATAAGTTCGTCCTCTCTTGTGATATTTAGACTGTGCCAATATATAGGTGAGTAGAAACACGCTGTTTTTACTTGCTCCTTGCGTTCTGTGAACGCGCTTTGTGAAAGCACGGTCGCGCGCCGCGGCGAGAAACGCCGACGGGTGGAAAGTTCCTTCGGAAAATCAGGTCGCGCGTACTTAGGCCACGTCGCGTTTCCGCGTTCTCACGCTCGTTGGTGAAGAATTCGTGTGATTTTTGTACGCGCGATCGCGCCGAAAGATTGTTTTGCGCGACATTCCGCGCGCTCCCGAGGCCAACGCCGAAGAATTTTCCGAGCTTTTTTCGGGAGTTTTCGCCATTTTGTCTCGCTCAAGTCCACGAAGTCGGCCATTATGTACGCGCACCGGATCGTGATTCTAGACCTACGATTTACGGCATCGAGACTATAGAAGGAGAGAGAGAAAGAGAGAGACGCGACGTGGTTTTTTTGTGAAAAATTCGATCTTGCTTGTACTTTTTCATCCGGAAACGAGAAAAAATACAGGTGTAAAACCGGCGTGTAATTCAAGCGAGAGAAACAACAACGGAGGTTAATGCACTTTAAACGGGTTATCGTTTAATAAAAGTGGTCTCTCTCTCTCTTTCTAAGTCGGCTTCTGCAGCACTTTCAAGCGGCAAACGTGAACGCGTAGATGTACGTGTATGTATGTGTGCCGTGTATGTGCATTCGAGTTTAAAGCACTCCGCACATAGTAATTTACAATCTACTTTAAACATCATGACAGCTGACGTGAATTTACAACAATTTATAAAGCAAAACATTTATCATTTATATTCGTAGATTAACGTCTAAGCGCGCTGCACAACATTTATATTATGCGCCTTTACGCATGTAGGTGCGTACATTTGTAAACACAAGAATTTTCAAGGGAAAACACGAACGTTTGACAATATCAACATACACAAAATGAAAGATTATTATTTGCAAATCTTGATTACTTCTTGACACAACGCGACTTTAGTTAATTAGGTCATGACAAGCGGATTAACGATAAATGTTTTTTTTCTTTTTCTTTTTGTTACATAACTAGTCATTATTGCTGTGTGAGATTACTGTGGTCAGACTGACTTCATTAAGCTCGATGTTGTTTGCTTACTCCGGTATTATGCCTATCGTGCAACTGTGTTATCATCAGGCTACATTTTGCCAAGTCGATGGGCACTAAAAATAGAAGTGATTAAGATGATCATACGTGATGAGGGATTTGGGAAAGTCATGCTTTTGCTGAAAAATAACTCGTGCTATAAGAATAAGAACAACTGTAAATTATTTTTAGTAGAACTTTTTTAATATTACTGTAATTTATCTTTGAGCAATATTACAAGGAATAATTAATATAACTCTAATCTTCTAACAATGTTTCTCACATTTTTAAATGCATTGCTTGAGTTGTGATGTGTCAAACACTTTACTTAGCTTGTTTTACTTACTACTTCATAAAAAATACATTACGATATAAAAGGGCCAGTAGTCCTTGACCACCAGCAGTAATGGTTTCCACTTGTTTTATTACAACGATTAAACAGCTTTTATTGGTGTGTTCAGTCAACACTAGAAATTTATGTGATGTGTTCTATCATAACTTTTATTTAATGGATATTACATAATAAAACATAAGTAAAAGAAAATTGCAATAGAATCACCTGTACTTTATATTCTTGATGCATAATTCGTTCGACTTGTGATACACACGATATGATTTTATATTTTTTAGTTCTTTTTTTCAATATTTAAAAAATTGAAGTTTACACATATATATATATATATGAATGTTCTATTGTTTAATTATAATTTAAAGATGTTTTTATATATTAAAAATGCTTGTATTTTTACTTTTTATACTTTTTTCAGGAATTTCTTATTTTAGATAAATGTCTTGAGAAATTAAAATATATTTCTTTATAAATATATGAACAAGCATTTGTACAAGCATGTAATAAATATAAATATTTTAAATATTTGGTTTTAATTACTCATTTTATTAATACACACGTACATACATGTACATAAAATTGTCTATGTGTACATGTAGTTAATTTTCATATACATTATTAGTGCACATTTTTAATTCACTGCGTGTCCAATCAAATTTCTATTATTTCTAAAGAAGATATGTCTTAAGAGTAGATAATGGAAGATATTTTGTAATAGAGAGAAGGGGGGATATGTTACTTTTCTATACTTATTACACGTAACGGTTGTTATATACTGGGAGAGCAAAAAAACATTGATGAGATAATAAGTTTTAAAAGCATATTTTTTGAAGACAGTAAAGTTTCAAATTAGAGCGATAAATTAGTCAAAGATATGACTAACAATAATTTTGATTGTGCACTTAATAGTCTGTATATACATGTAAAAAATTTATTAGTTGAAAAAAAGTACCGTTACTCAATGTTAGAAGTTCGTTTAAAATAAAAGATGCACTCATTGACGATAGTTCATGTTGTAAAAAGAGAAAATTATTTAATTTGATGCGAGACTAATAGAATACCGAAACAATCATCGACCATTTTGACGCTGCTTTATACATTTCGGCCTCACCAGCTTCGGCGGGACCACGTAATTCTCGATCACATCGCAGTAACGAATATCCTAGTAGCGCGCATGTGCGCAGCACTCGCATTTTTCCTTCTCGTTTGTTCCGGGACGCGTCTTGTATCGTCGGGCATGCGCGAAGGAACGTTTGCGCTCTCTGCCGGCGATTAATCTTCCGACCAAAGTAAAAGGCGTCGAGCCGCAGCCATACTCGAAAAGGACAGCGGACCAGTTGCACCGGGCCTGGACGCTCTGCGCCGTTTTAACTTTTCACCGACTTTCATTGCTGTGATATTAGATTGTTATATACCCGCTTATTAGGTGAGTGAACTCAGCACGCCTAATCACGCGTAATCTGTAAAGTGCGCGTAGCGTGAATTCACGAAAAATTGGAGGTGCGCGATATAATGTGATCGACAATGGCCGCGACGGGCGGGTCCGCGAAGATATGGCGAGTGATTTAGATTCGTGAACGTGATTGTGAAAACGATCGCGTCGTTGTGATCGGCGCGCCGTTTGATTTTGTTGCTGTTTTGAGCGTAGAATCAAATTGTATGCGAATTTCCCGCGTGAAGCAGCCGTTGTTTGCGATTTCGATAATTATTTGTGTCCAGACACGACGCATGAGCGCGGGGAATTCGGTAGACGCGCGCGCGCTCACTCGCGAAGATCGATCGCCGTAGTTTTTCTTCGTGAGCTTTTCACCCACCGCCATCTTGTCCGGGCACGACCTCGCTAACCGCCATGTTGTGATCAACGATTCGTTGCGTTCTTGCGGTTTCTTGAGATGGTGTGGGGAGAAGAAATGGCGCTTTGCCGTTGCGCAGCGATATCTCCCAATTTTTTTCTTAGTCGCTTTTATCTCTCGACAATCGTGTATGCGTATCGAAAAAGTAATCTGTCAACAATTTGTTTTTGTCTTGTACGCACATACATCTATTTACGTATATACACGTTACCAATCCGAGCTGCCTGACGTAACGTGCTCTCGCACGAGATAACAATATAAATAGATTACGCAATCTAGCATGTAGGTCGTGAAAATCTCTCTCTCTCTCTCTCTTACTCACACACACACACACACGCACAACATATTCTCTCTAGCGCGCGCGTTGAGTATTTCTCGTACTTTGCGACTGCGTATTGCGGTTTATTTCCCTGCTGCTAAGCACCCAGTAAAACGCGTTCCCCACTCTCGTCGAGCTCCGCGATCGATTTTCTATGTTTATTATGTTCTAATGTAAACCGTGCTGACGTAAATTGACTAGACCTGTCCTGGTTTTATTTACCGTGCGCCTCAAGCGGTGACGTGAAAAGTGCTGATACGTCATGATTAAAAATGCATGATCCGACACTTAACTACACAGTTATGAAAATTGTATTATTATTAGTCACTAAAAGTTTTAAAAATAGAATTCATATCTTTACACAGATGTGTTTTCAAGTATTTAATTGATTTAACGACTAATTGACTTTTATTTTTATTTTGTTTAGATTACATTTGAGTAGATTATATTTTTTTTATTTCTTTATGCTCATTTAATGTTACACTTTTATTGGTAAATTAATTTTTTTTCCGTTTTTTTTTTGTGTCAAGATCAATATGCAAAAGCTTTTAATGCAAATTTCGATTCACATTGATAAAAAAAACTTAGCGGCGGTGTCAGCTATATAGAGCCACCCCTGAGTCCCAGGGATCTTCGCGGCTTGTTGCGCAAGTTGTGCGCGCAACTCGAACGCAGCTGCGCGTGCGCGGTGCTTGCGCGTCCTTCTGCATCATCCCCACCACGCAGTCCATTACCGTTACGAGACACGCACAAAGGAAAAGGCCAGAAGAGCGATCTGACCGACGCGCTTGCATCGCACACGGCCATTTTGGAAGCTTCGGTGCTTCGTTGCGGAGCTTTTGCCTCCGTCGTCCTCCCGCGAGGGCCGCGTGCGATAAAACAAAAACGAGAGAGAGAAAGAAGGAAGACTGATCGGAAAGAAAAGCGTGTGCTTTCGCGAGTACATCATTCATTGGGCTCGATGTGCGCGATAATCGGTCGCGGGAGGACGAGATAGCGTCGGGTCTGTCGGTTCTATCGATCAATATCACGTAAGGAGAAACAGAAAGATAGAGCGGGAGAGAAAGAGAGAGGCCCCGTCGATTTCTACACTTGTACCTGTCAAATATCTGTTCCGATTCGCTCATCGGTAACTTTGCCTGTTTCTTCACCTGTGCAGAAACCAAGAAACGAAACCAGAACTACCATGGAGGACGATCAGCAGTTCTGTCTCAGGTGGAACAACCACCAAAGTACACTAATACAAAACTTTGACACACTTCTCGAAAGCGGAACACTGGTCGACTGCACGTTGGCGGCGGAAGGGAAAACCCTCAAGGCCCACAAAGTAGTCCTTTCCGCGTGCAGTCCATATTTTGAGGTGAGTAAAATGTTTTGTTAAAATTGCAAGTTTTGTTGATTTAGATATATAGGAATTTCTTCAAATTGCATACTAACTGCTTGTTGAGTTGTTTTCTTTAAGTAACTATGTTTCACTTGAAATTAGTTTATTTGAATGAGTGATATAGAATGGTTTTAGCTAAAATAATCTGATTATAAATCACTGCTTAATTTGGTTTATAAGATTTGTAATAATGATGTAATACATATTTATTGATTGATATAATGATATAAAATATGTTTTAATTTTCTGAAGATAATTAAATTGGAGTAATAAGATAAAGATAATATATATATATATTTATTATATAATAATTATGTGTACCGAATTGTATTTGTAAAAATTAAGATAATTGTAGAAAAGCAAAGTCAGGCAACAAATAATTTCTTATCGCAAAGATATTCCGATTGCATTTTTGTCCTGTTGCCTCAGTTGGGTTAAATCAATACAAAATACATTTAGAGAGAATGAGGTAGGCTGTTGAGTATCAAGAGGAGAGGGAGTCTCAAGTTGAAACAAGATGGCGGTGCTTGTTGAACATTGCCTGGGCAGGAGTGAACGAGGTACATGGGGTAGGAGGGGAGAAAGGAGGGAGAGCAAAAGGCTGACCCCCTCCTAGATTCCTCTTGATCAATACAGGGAAAGCAAGATGGCTGATTTCCAGGGCTCTCGCCCTGGGATTTCACCCTGATATGGGTGGGGATGCAAAGAGACATTATTTTACTAATTCTACGTCATTTTATATTTAAACAATAAATATACTCCGATTTTAATGCATTACTTCAGAAGCAGTACTTTATAAGTCTAATTGCAGTTTAGAATTTGTAGAGAACTAGAGATTAAAACTTTGTAAATAAAGAAAAAATTAATTTTCTCCAATTTATATATTACATCAATATATAAGGCCTATATGTGAGGAGTAGAACTGTGGAAAGATTATGGATAATTAAATCAAGAATCCGAAATCTTTTGCTTTTTGGGCAAAAGCTCTAATAAAATTATTGTTTTAGGTTTTAGTGCATTTCTTTCTACTTCTTGATAATACATTTTTTGAATACATTTTCTGTATAAAAACCATTACAGAAATTTCTTTTTCTACTATCTTCTGTTGAAGTAGTTGTGAAGTAAAACCCATCGGACAGAAAAAGGAGAAATCGAAACTAATTGTCTAAATATATTTGTTTATAAATAATTTTTATACTATTCTCTTATCGCCTCTACAATTTGAGCAATTTTTATCTTTTAAAAGTTTTGAAAATATATTGCTTACAAATGTTTATCTGAGAGATGTATCTGCTTTTGTGTTACAGTGCCTCCTCAGCGAACACTATGATAAGCACCCAGTCTTCATACTCAAGGATGTTAAGTTTAAAGAACTAAAGGCAATGATGGATTATATGTATAGAGGGGAAGTAAATATTTCTCAAGACCAATTGGCAGCACTCCTCAAAGCCGCTGAATCTTTGCAAATAAAGGGCCTTTCGGAAAGTAAAACAACCGGCAGTAGTAAGACGGAATCCAGGCCACAAAAACCCGTCTCACAACCTACAGCCCCGTCGTTAGACATTCCACACTCGTCTTCCGGTCTGACGATAGAAAAGAACAAAGTTCCTAGGCAAAGTATGACGTCAAGTTCCGTGGGAGATATACCTGAAGATACGGCTAGTCCACAGGCAAAAGGGCTCTCCTCCAAGAGGTGAGTGCTTTTGAGAGAAAAAAGAATGTCTATTACAACGAACGTGAAGATAGTTATTTTGTTTTTCTCAATGATATCGCTATAATAGTTATCTAATCTGCGTTTTTTTAAATTCGAAACAGGGAAGGTTCTCAAAGTCCGACTCCACGAAAAAGAAAGAGAATTCGAAGAAGAAGCTCGGGCGAAGAAAACACGATAGAAAATCAGGATGCCTCCAGTTCTAGTGATATGCCTCAGCAAATGAGCGTTCCGGCACTTGGAATCGCACCAGTGGCAGACGAAAAAGTTCATTCGAATCCAACTGATTCTCTCGGCAGGTCAACTCTGATGACGCAACTGACGAAACCTGCCGATGAGATGTTACAGGTAAAATGAGCAACAATTTTGTTTTTAATTTTCGCGCCAACGTCTAATAGAGACTGTCGCGAAAAGCGCTGTTTCTTTCGCTTCGTTGGTAGAAAAAACTTCGTACTTTATCCTGCTGTTTATGGTTTTTTGTTTCTACCTTTGCAGTGTGGAAACGGTGCGAAACAAATGTTTTTATTTTTTTTTATTTAAATTTTTTTGTAAGTTTTGCGCAGTACATTTTTCTTGAAAAGGATCTTCTTCAAAATATTACAATCTAACGCGCTTGTTTTGCAGTTGCCACTTGAAAAACCCGAGCCAAACGATAATTTCATCGAGCCAAAGTCTGAATTTGTAGAGGAGACGGAGGAGGGTGTCGAGGATTTGACGTTAGACGATGATATGAACGATCTTAATGACATGGAACAAGACAACAACAGAGCCGGACCGTCCCATGACTCCACCCAACATTCTGGTAAGTTTCTAAGTTTCTTTATTTTTGGTTTCGTTTCTATCGAAGCAGAAACGCAGGGTTTCCTTCTCTCGCCTAAATAATGCGAATTGTACAAAAGACGTTTTCGCATCGGTAATGCCGCGTGCAATATTATAGCGACCTTATGTACAACAGATAATTGCGTTTTCATTGAAATTTTATATGTTCTGGAGACAGTCAACGACAGTAGCGAATCTTCGATCCAAAAACAAAAAAAAAAAAATTATTTGGATCGAAGCGGAGCTTGACGTTTTATACGATTACAGTGATTCTTGAGCGGTAGTCGCGATATTTCCTAATTATGATAATCGGATCATAATTTTCATATTGATCACACGCAGGAAGGGCTTGTGCGTTGAAGGAATGAATAGTTTTGGTGTCGCGAGGTCGTTTCGTTGTTTTGTTTGTTGTCTCTTAAAACACGGGACGTGTAACAAATTGGTCGACACTAGCTTCGGTTTCCTCGTTGCAGGTGGGGGGGCGGGAGCGCGGTCTCGGTCGAGAGGGAATTTCGGTAATGACGGTGGCCGTGATGGTGCCTTATGGGCTTCCCATTTCCTCGCATGTAAAAAAGTACCAATGAGGCGGCCGACGCTCCCAGACGTTGACGTAGGCGCGTTGCTTAAATCGCTGGCGAACAAGCAGGGCAGAAAGTATAGCTTAGACTTGGTTAAAATGTCTCTGGAGGCGATATTGGAACAGGGGGTTAGCACCACTCAGGCATCCGAGATGTACGGCATTAATCGCTCGACGCTGCAGTTCTATTTGAAAAAGTTGAACGTCGTCAGGAGAAGATGGAGGCAGCCACCGGGCACCGTCCCTGTACAACAAAGACATACGTAGTGCGTATATGTGCGCGAATATTATACGTAAAAGATGTCTCTATGCATTATTATTACGTCGAATCCGATCAGCATCGATCATTAGGGTTAATAATTGTGCAATTTTGTTTGAAAAAAAGAAAAAAATCAAATTTTAATTGGATTGTCTATAAGTGAAATAAATTTCGTAGAATATATATACGCACTGCTGAATGTCTTTACTTTGTTCGCACTTTAACGTTGCACTTCGAAATTCAAACTCCGACAAGAATCACTTTCAAATTATCGTTTTAAACAATAATGATGTGCTAGGACGAGCCAAAGTAATGGCAAAGCAACGTACAAAATAATTGAACTTTGCGAACAGTCTGAAACTATCAGTATTATTTGTCTATTCCTTAGGTGTTACGTGTAAACTATTTAAACTATTTATTGTTTATAAAATGTGCGTGTGAGACATATGTTTTATGTGTGAATGTGAATGTGTGTATGCAAATATGTGTGAACAAACTGCGGTGTAATCCGCGTACTTTGCCAAAAAAATATTTGATGTGTCGAGCTGTGAATACACAGAAGGATATAGATATATTATGTAATATATATATATATAAATGTATTTCAAGCACTATCCACTGTGTAATAGGGAACACTGTTGCGACTTTTCGAAACCCTGCGTTTCGCTACTTAATTCTTTGGTCGATCTTATATATATATATGTGTCCCGATATTTTTGTTCCCCTTTAAGAGTTTATGAATAAAGCACCCTCTTGTATTCCTACTACAACATTTAATGCAGTTATTTAATTTAATTATCTACGTGTGAATATGTTAAATTATTCTCAAAAAATTTTCGAGTAATTTATTTTTTTAATTTCTCTTAGGGTTACATTTAACTGTAAATTTAAAATTTGAAAAAGTGAATAATGAATCTTGGTTTGGTTTTGATCATGAAAAAAGATTCGATATCTGATAGCGACACTTAACGAAGAACATCGGCCCTTTTTGTAGCAGGTCTTGGAACGTGGCATGTTACTGGGAATCGAAGTAATGCAGAAGGCATCTATGAAGCGGTAGGAGGGGGTAGCGGACCACAAGACGAGGTGTATCTAGCTCAGGAAGCAGCACAGCAAGCACATCGCGACTCTCAAGGTAGGCTCATCCTCGCCATTTCCAATTTGTCCCCGACCACCGTAACAATAGGCACTCGTAATTGCTTCTGCTCTTGCAACGATTTCGTTCTTCATCTGTTACGTGAACATCTCGCGCGAGTTGTTTTCACGATAAAATGTACATTTTGAAATATTTACTTTTGTTCACCATGTCTTGTAACAAGAACACGCGTACTTCTTTGAATGAGCTTCGGGAATGTAAAAAATATTGAACGATATGCATCTTTTTCTATCGCTGTAGATCAAATAGCTCATTCATAAGTGAGTACGTCGGTGAAAACATTGATGACGTGTTTATTTTATCGGTAATATGCACGTGTACGCGTATTATGTGCCTATTGCGCAGGCGGAGCGGGACTTGTTTTTTTTTCGCTGTTGATAACGTGGTTCAACCTAGATTCCGGTGCGTTCAAGTGTAGCACGGTCTCTGAAAAGAGCTTTTCCTTTGTTTTTCTATCAGGGCATGTAAGGCTTTTCCGTTAAATTTTTGAGTTCCTTCACATATCTCTCTTTTGGTTCCTTTTTTATTAACGTGGCGTTGCGACACGAGGCTAACGCAAGATGAGACGTGCGCGTTTTTTTGGTCATATCAGCAGCATGTCGTATATCATGATTTTGTTTCTGTCGTCCCACTCGTCTTCGTTGGTCTCACGATACGCAACGTTGCGACCTCTCTCTCCTTCAAAAGGAGTACGACAGCGCGGAGACGACAGTACTACCAATCGTACCAAGGAGAACACGAGACTCCTCTCGTGCCAATTTCTCACCTATTATAGCTAGCTTATTCTTTGACAACAATCGCGCGAAATAATTAACAATTGTAGTTGACGACATATAATTGACAACCCTCTTCCAAAAATCGCGAAATTCATCATTTATTCATTTTTGTAGATACTTTTAACAGCCGTAGACCAATAAGAATTTGAATTCTTCGAAGTTTTATAAATTGGATTTTATGTAAGTTTGTCGCGTTATTCTAATCACGTATCATTCATTGTACCGATTTATTATTAATGTTGAGATACTTAGAAATAATTATTAACTTAATTAAGCATCACATGGAAATAGGTTTATATATGTGAGTGTAAAAATTCAATAAGTAGATAAGTAGATAGTCGGGTAGATAAGTAAGTAGAAAGATAAACAGATAGATAAGAATTTGTTAGGAAATCTCTCTCGATTGTCTCTCGACCATTCGATCCGCTTCTTCTGCGTTCTTCTGTTTCCGAATTCCGTGCAATAGCATATGATTATATGGAAAACAAAAACAACAATATTTTGTAAAATGACAACCGTCGAGTTGTAGTTCAGCAAATTTAAAATAATAATCGAAACATCTCTGGGGTTTTGTACGCTTCTTCTCGTTACTGTGAGTTGAAAGATGAAGCCGCAGTTATGCAAGTAAGCCGAGAGCTTGCTTTGAATATCTGCTATTTTTTTAAACTAACAACCTTATTTCCATCTTCGTCTGTTCGATTGGCATTCCGTGCCTCTCGAGAAATTCGACGCTACACGAGAAACGATTTGATCGCACTACCACGTTTCGACAGCTTCCGCAGCGAAAAAGTTCATTTTACGCTGATTGTTGGCTCGACAACTTGAAGCGACCATGTGTATGTGTCCTGATGTCTGCAGTATTACCTGACTCCTAGAGTGACGTCATCCTCTAGATAGAATTTTGTCGTGAATCATTTGCTTTCAGCAAAGTCCGATGTTAATAGCGTTAGACTTCTGTGAGATGAATAATGAAGTATTGACAATTTATCTTGCATGAATAAAAGAAGAAAATTAATCTTCAAAGTAATTCTCACTGTTTGACGATCATAGTTATACGATAAAAAGTGGAACTACAAATAACATAAAGAGATTTTATGATCATCCTCGCGTACCTTCTAACACAATCGGTGGCAACATAATATATATCGAGGCAACCAGCTGCACGCTCTGGCGTGCCGTTGCTACATCTGCTACCTGGCTAACAGCTGCGCTATATTCCGCGCAGCAGATGCAGGTAGATAGCCGGTCCGACTCAAATGGTCGAGTAGTGACTATGCATATCTTTTGTTTTTCATTTTCTTCGCTGTGTTCTTTGTGACCTGGAAAACAGGCATCGTGTGAGATTTTTAAACGAGGTGAAAACCAGATTCTCTGCATTATTTCAACAACAATTTTCTCTCTTCTTTTCTAAAAGATAAAAACTTTCGACTGATGGTAAATAACTTCTAACGATTTTTTGATGGTAAATAAATTCTTCTATAATTTTCTTTTTTTCAGATATTGCGATTTCTTATGACCAAAAAGTTAAAAACTGTGCTAAGGTACGAACGTATACTTATGTTGTTGCGATTGGCTGAAGAAATAGTGATGAAGACGCGGATGCTCAATGACTGAGAGACACATTAAGGGAGATAACTCGCATTTATATATATATATTTAATATTTTTATCAGACAAAAGTAGGCTTTTGTTGAGTCGCGGACACGCGTAAGATTTTTTTTTTATTTCGTTCCGGTCGTATCTTAGTAGGGTGATATGATCGCTCTAACGAGGCGATCCAACGTGGGAGGCCAGGTAACTTCGGAGAGAGAGGAGCGACCTCTCTGTCAATGCTAGCGTTTGCTACAATCCCGGACTCTTCGCGCGATTTCTGACGCGATTCTCGACGGTGATATTCCTTTCGCGAGAGATCCTTGCACGCCAGATGCGCATGCGCATCCACAATGTTCTTGTTTTGTTTAACTTTTTTTTTTTTTTTATTCGTCACAACACGTGTGAGAATACACTGATGTTCCGTCGCTGTCTCTTCTTTACGTACATTGTCACACAAACCGTGCATTAAAAATTTGATACAGAAATTAAACATCCAACAGAGATGCTCGCATTGATAGCAAAGGTCGTTTATTTTCCACCGTCAGAGACTTGTTGCCTTGAATCTAGTTTTCGATCGGCCATATGTATGATACGCAAAAGAAAGTGAAAAGAAAAAAGGGGCATGTTTTTTTTAAAGTTTTTTTTTAAGGCTGTGCTCGAGTTTATCGCGATGATCGATCTTGCCGTTCTTCTTTCAAGCCCCGACGCGCTTCGAAAAAATTAATACGAGTTTTCCTTCCGTTTTGGTTTGGACTTTCAACTTTTAAAAGCTCTCTCTCGTACATGTCGTTTTGATTTATCGCTTGTTGCATCTTCACGCGTCGAAGTCTCTCCGAGAGTTCGCGAGTTTTAGGACCGGAGTTGCGCCACGTTGTTCTCAGCCTGTAGAAAACATGGTTTTTCTTCTTTCTCGTGACTCTGTCTCGCGGAAACACGAGAAGCGTTCCCGGCGGCCAGACACGCGGTAAAGGTAAACGCACGCGATAACGCCTGTCCGAAGGAACGTTTGCCGAACGTTTCGCACACAATTCTCGCGGATGATCAATCGTCGCACTTGAATCTTCGGCCGCTTCTTCGGGCAACAGTGAAACGATCGCGTTTGCCTCTGCCGATCCGGGATTGCGAATCTCATACAGACGGAGATAATACAGATAAATAACAACAGATAAAAAGTCAGCCCATTGTAGCCGTGACGTGTTTTTTTTGTTGGTGTGAAGAAAGATGTTGGATTGTGCATGTGACGGAGAAGAAAGTTCACGTCTGTCTTTGTGCTCGGGAATATGTCGTATTCTGACACAGAGAATACAATTCTGTCTCGGAAACGCCGGGTACGTCGATGTACGGCCAGTCGCGTGCGCGGATTCTTTCTCGGTATAATTTTCTCTCTTTCTCTCTTCTGTCCTTCCTGCCCTTCTTCCTGCTCTCTTAATATCAAGGAATCATCGCGGGGGTCTCTTCCTTTTTTTTTTTTTTTTTACCCTTTTCTTATTTTGCACGATAAGAAAAGTGGAGCGAGGGAACTCGATAAATCCTCCATTTTTCTGCCTTCATTTCCTTCTTTTTGTTACCCTCATCTGTCTTTCAACGTCCTCAAACGTGCGCTTCTTGCGTAACATATCGGCTGGTCGTAAATCACAAAACCGGACGTTTTCTCGTCCAGTTGGAGGTGCGAAGAATTGACGAAATCTATCGGGATTAATTCGGAGGGATTTTTGTTGTTTGAACGTCACGTTCTCGATTGCACATGCAACTGGTTGAGAATCTTTCACGCGACTGTGAAAGACGCGGCTCTCTCTTTTGTTATTACGAGTCTCTGTCAAAGCAAAACGAACAAAAAAAGCACGTGCCCGCGCATCATAGATCTTGGTCGCGCAAGCGCGCGCCAAGATTACTTGCAATACGATATAACGATGTGTGAACAATATATATATTACATATTCATATATATATATATATATTTTTTCTTTGTTCATTCCGTGTATGCGTACACTCGATAGTTTTTAACCCATTTGTGCCATATATATATATATTTTTTTTTTGAGCGTAATTCGTCTTGCATGCCATGCTTCCTATACGGTAGTGTAACTATTACACCTTAACTCTCTTGCGGAGGTGCGCAAGCGCGATGCGTCTCTTACGCGCATCGATGGTGTGCTCCCCACGTATATATATAATAATAATGCATGGTGGTGGTGTAGATAAATAAAATACGGTACTTATATATCGTGAAAGAAAAAACTCTTTAAAACTCGCGAATTTTTAGTCTGATCTCCCCTTTGCAACGCGCTCGCACACATTCGACAAATCAAATTTATTTTTACTAACCCACGTGTACATAACTCGCTTCTTTGTTCGTAACGCATAAAACATGAACTACTGAAAAAAAAAAGAAAAAAAAAGAAAATTAACCCAATCACATATATATCTATTTTTGTGGCTCTCTCATATGTGGCATACACACGTGCGTCTCACGTGTATGGTATTTACATATGAGCGTCCAGAAACGAAAGGGACTTCATTTATATTAATATGTATATGTATACACGTATACTTCGTATATATAATATGCTTTAACATATATTTTATATATATATGTAATACTTTCTACTCG